AATTAATACTTTGGTACCTCAAAAACAGTTTTTTTTCCAAATAAATCCTGGAGCAGATTTTGAATCTGCTTACTTTTTCTTTGCAAGGTGGGACATCTAACTGAGCATGTGCAGTGTGAGTGTCATCACTCGAGCTTGTTTCTGTTTGGAGAAAAATGACGTGTTGCAACCGTCCTTTGTTGCTGCTGTCCCCGATCTCCCCTAGTGTGAGTGTCTACTGCTAACAGTGACAACAGCATACACGCTCCATTCATACCCAAGTTCAAATTTCTGAAATCTAACTTGAAAAAAATCAACTGGAACACCTCAAAAGTCAGTATAGCTACCTAACTGATTAAACGCAATGATAGCCGCTATAATCTACTTATTTACATTTTTATCAGTTTTGATTATTGTATCAGTTGTCTATGGTGTTTAAGTGGATTATATGCAAACAAATACAGTGGAACCTCCCAACAAAAATAATGCACATTTAATAAGTTTGTTTCAACACCTCCCAGCTCCGTCAAAAAAGCACTCACTCTGACGATTAAAATTACAAGATGCTTTAGAAACAAGCAACAGCRTTTTCGTCGAACACGTCTTTTAAAGAGTTGCAGCTGACTTGCTTTGGCGCAGGGTGGATGGAGGAGAAAAAATTTGTATCGTTGAAACGTTTTTCTTTAGACGTCGTCGTTATGCTATATTTTATTACTGCCTTGTAGTTAATCTGGTCACTGAGCATGTCAATTAGCCAAATCTGATTATTTTATTTATTTATTTTTTATTTTTTACATTTAGAGTGGTTGTGATATCATTCCTGTAGCCAGGTTTCAACTTTCGAAGGAAATTGAATTCAACACTTTAGTGGTGGATATCACAGCTATTTCCTTTGGTTCAATTTGTTTGACAAAGTTACTGGGCAAAAAAAAAACACAGCTTATTTTTCTCGCAAACAGTTATTCACAAAATACCTATTTGTAGCTTTCATAAATGAGCAAGGTTTTGGTGTTTTAGAAGTATGAATACATCTATCGCTCTAAAAATCAGGCTCAAGACCAAGTCATGAAGAAGACCCTAAGATTAGCCCAAGTCCTCCACTCATTCCCAAACCAAACTTTGCACCCCCCCCCCACCTCCCCACCACCAGAATTGAAGACTCTCCTGTATGTTCTGTACAGTTATCCACAGAAAACAATTGTAGTGACCATTTCCTATTAAATTGTAAAATAACATGTGCCCATCCCATTGCATGCTGGTGCAATACCWGGCCACWTATTTATGGGTTTCCCAGTTTTTCCTATTCTTCACAAGTAAAGTAAGGCAATGAGAAATACTGTCAAAATAATTTATACAAAATAYTGCAACAAAAAATAATCCTAAACAWATTAAACAAATAGCTCCTTCATCAATCATTGTGAACCTTTAGCTATGATTATCGCTGGTGTTTTATATAAAACATTATCATCATGAAACAAGAAATCCAGTTAGCTTTTGGTCACCAGYCAGTTGTAGCTCCTCCTGGTTTAGTAAGTATAGTTTTACCACCTGTTAGTGTGACTGTTTATACRTTAACACAACTTTTAAGTTGAACTTTCACTGCTGCGCTCAGACTTGTTCTGCTCGCCGTCACAATGGTGGCACGAGTCTGGCCTCACAAAACCCTCTTCAGCCCTTTGACGGGCCCTAAGTGACAGGTGATGAAGAGGAGCGTGGACGGCGGGCCGCGTCCGTCTCCACGTCTTTTCTCTGTTGTGGCTCGGACCTCCTTACATCACAGAAATGCAAATCTGTAAAGCCTCCAGATCTGAGGAAGGAGATGGCTGAAGGATTTAAAGTTGATCCTCCCTCTGTTAGTCACACACGCCCCACCTTCCTCCTTTCTCTCTGCTGTATTCAGATGATTGTTGTTTCTAATTTTCTTTTTCCCCGTCATAAAAAAGAAGAGGAGCTGAACTTTGTGTTAGACAAAGCGTAAACCCAGATTAAATAAAAGCCTGATGTCTGTGGGTCGTTTATTACAACTATTTACCCTGTKAGGGCCAGACTGGGACTGTCACCAAACACCGGACCGGTTTTCACTGGTTCTCGTGCTGCATTTCAATATTGACCCACTTTCATCTTGCTCATGCCTCTGGTAATTTGCTTTAAAGTTTTATCGCCCATGAGAYAATGAATTACTTTTTTTCCCCCTCAGAGGAGGCAGGTTTGAAGAGAAAAGCTGATTTCTGTGCTAATCTGTTAAGTTGACACAAKGGGGCAGTGAAGCTAGCATACTTTATTTACGTTCTCCAACACAATTTGACTCTCTGGGCTTTTATTTTGTTGTATAGCGCTCAATGACTTTTATTTTGTATAAAGATAAATAGGTTTTTAATTTGGCAAGAATTAGCTGCATGGTACAAAATTAGATCAAACCATATTTTTATATCATTCATTTTATTTTGTGGCTTTTTAAATATTTGACTTTCTTATATAATTTTTGCATTTCATTCTACATACCACTCACTTTTTTCTAATTTAACACTTGATTACTTCGGAAGTTAAAACATATACTATATATTTATACTTAAGTGCATTATAAATGTTTTTATTGTTTTTTGTTAAAAGTTATTATTTTAATTAAGTCAAAATTTTTTATTTAAAAAACAAATAATAGTTTAAATGGCAAACATCAATTTTATTAGATTTTTTTATTCAAACCAGTTTTAACATTTGATCTGTATCTTGATTTTGATTGGTTTTGCTGAAAAAAAACTTCATTCAATTTAAAATTTTGAAATAAAAATTGACTTTTTTATTCATATTTTGTGTTAATGGTGAACGTCATCATTTATTAGAACATATTTTACATTCAAAATAACTAAAAAGCTTTGGGTTTGGGGCTATTTTATTTGATAAAAAAAGTCATTWAAAAGTTTATTTATAAATCTAATAATGGATTAAATATAAACACAATGTGCAGATTTTTCAAAACACTCTTTCAAGCTATAGATTTGATTTATTATAGGGAAGTAGTGAGTCAAAGTGGCAAATCTTTCCACCTTTTATACATAATGATGAAAATAATTTCAGTTTCCTCCGGCAGGTCTGGGATCGTCCGGCTCATCTTCGGGCTATGTGTCCACGCTTCCTGTCCCACACGAAGGTTTGTCCTGAAGACTTCCAGCCTCCGTCTTTATTAAGATCCAGACAGCCGTTTCCATCTCAGGAGAAGATGCAGATGGTTTATCCTCTTCCTGCTCCAAACACTCCGGTTCTTGGTGAGTCTTATCAGTAAAACATCTTGTGCTCCAGAAGGTGACGACTCCTTTAACTCAATAACTTCCTGTATTAATTTTTTCCCTCCCTTTTCTTCCCCGATCGGTCAGGGTTGGAGGCCACCAAGCTCGCCATCAGTTCTTAATCCCTGTCTTTGGTTTTGTTTAGTTAAATCCAACTCTGACCTGTCCTCTACAGGAAGGAAGTGCCCACAGTGCCGCCCTCCTGGTGGTCTTCTGGTGGAGCTCTTGACTGAAAACCCCCCTTTTTTGCCACTCCTTTCACACCCTGGCTTCTGATGTGAAGGCATTTTGTCCTTGCACACACCTCAGCTCCACAGCAGGGCACAGCTTTCAGCCTGTGTGTGAATGTGTGTGTTCAGCAATGAAGGGGTGGGGGGGCATTTCTCAGAACCGGGGTCTAATACTAATTATTCTGCCATATGGCGGCTGGCTCCTTCACAATCAGCCTTAACCCTCCTCCCCAAAGAGACGTGCTGCGCCCAATGCCATGGCTTTGCACTCTGACACATGCCATTCATATGCACATTAGCACACGCACACATAAACACGCACACAACGCTTGTGTGCGACTGTGAGTAGAACAGATGGGATTGGCAGGGTATTGTAAGAAGGAGTGCAGAAATGTGCCCTTCCACTGTCTTGACTCGTCTGAAGGGCAGACCCCCAGGAAAGAAGAACAGATTGTTTGACACCCTTCACCCCTACAACCCTTCACACACACACACACACACACACACACACACACACACACACGCACACAAACTCACAGGCATGAAGAAAAATAAGGGGGCAAAGAGGAAATGGGCGGAGCCAGGTGGATAAAAGGTTAGAATAAAGTGGAAAAGTGGACCCTCCAAATTAATATTTATTTCCTGAACACACCTGTAACCGACTTCTGCGAGTAAAGATCGAGCGTCTGCGCCGTCCCATAGCTCTGATTATTGCGAACATGGAGGTGGGAAACGGGCAGCTGCTGCAGCGGGGGCCATTTCTCGCTGCCTTTGTTCGCAGGCCGACCCGCGCAGCAGGGAAACAAGTGTTCGCGTCACGCCTCAWGGAAGTGGGAATGGAAATGTCAGCAGCAGGTTTTGGGACGTTGAGATGTGGCTTCAGATTCACTTCATTAAATATTTTGTTCTCGTCTTTGTCTTAAAGGACATCCTGAACCTGGCAGAAGAGCGGACGGCGAGCAGAGGGTTGCTTCGATTGACGGACGGCCCTCCGCAGCCATTTCTCCTCGCCTCCGGCTCCCCGCCGCCCCACCACCATCCAGCCTTAGTTCAACACCTGAACGCGACACGCCTCACCTCGACTCAGACAGACGGCGAAGCAAGTCGAACGCAATTCAAACAACCGCAACCCTGACATCTCCTAATGTTGCACCACTGCAGACAGAAAACGCCGTCACTGAAGTAGAAAAGGTGCGGCGACCTGCTCCGGTTGAGCCAGACTGGAATCCTGACCTCGGGTTGTCTGGATCAGAACAATCAGCATCAGCAGCCTCCCTCTCAATGGGGTCGCTTTCTGATTTTAGTCGCCCACCTTCCAGTTTGTTCAGCCGAAGCACCGACCTCGCCAGTGGCAGGAGCAGCATCCTGAGTGATAAGACAGGAGGTAAACTATCATTTCCTGTGAGGCTAACAGGCTTTTACTCTCATTTACATTCTTATCCCTTTAACTAATCTCTCCCCCGAAGCATTGCTGTGAAGATGTGATGAAATGGGAGTGTCAGAAACGGTAGGAGGTTCTTAAAGGAGATAGAGGCCAATTTATTTTCGATATATGCATTTTATAGCATAGTTACTTGATAGTTGTATAGAGTCGACGTATGTGCCTGTAGAATACATAATACTGCCCCTTTAATTGCATGATTTTGCCTCTTTAATGTTTTCGTTCGACTTAAAGTCTTTAATTCTTTGTTTATTTGTTTGTTTGCAGAAGATGTCATGGACTCAGATCCAGAGAGAAGTCTTGGGTTCTCCTTCCATCAGCTTTCCCCAGCGATGCATTTACCTCAGGCCTCTGTGACTCCAACAGAACTGAGCCATGGCAGATCTTTTAAGAGCACCAACAGCACTCCCACACRTTCACACTGCAAGTCACTCTTTGACCAATCAATACGTTGCTCGCCCTGCCCAGAGCCAACCAACCGACCTAACTCAGAGAAGCTTTTGAGCAGCAGAGGAAGCTCGAAAACAGCTGAAAGCGCGAACCCGGACACGTCTACGGATCTCGCTTTCAGTCAGCTCCTGTTTCCTGACAGAGAGCGTGCTACGCTCGAGTTGTCCTCCACGTTGTCTCCACGACTGAGCCCACTCAGGACCTCTCCACGGTCAGCATCGGGAGCAAAGCTGACCCCGCCTCCTCCTCCATCCCGGCTAGAGTCGCAGCGCTGGCCGGTCCTGCCTCCCATCTCCCCCGTCGGAGGTGAGAGACGAGCKCTACATAATGAGGCGTTCACACCCACTTTCTGCTCTTTGTTGTTCCTGAGCGTGGCTGGACGTTCAGCTTCTGCCCACCTCCTGCCACCACCTTAAAAACAACGCCACTTTTCTTTTGCTTCTTTATTAGGAATAGAAAAGAGGGCGTTTGATGAAAAGCTGGTACAGTTTGATTCCCCGTTCAAAGGCGTGAGGCCCCATCAGTCTCTACCTCGTGTGCTGAACCTCTCAGCCTCGGCTCCCCGATGCTTCCTCTATTGTCCCGGCTCTCAGAGGTAGACGTGTAGCCGATAGTCATAAATCCACACTGACCACCGCTTGCTAAGGGCAAAACATTGAGCTGAACCGCCACAATAGAATACCTCTGGCTTTCCTGCAGACGCTAATTTACCGTTCCCAGTGAGGATAAAAGATAGGGCCACTGACATCTGACTTCTCCAGGAACTTTATGAAAGAAAGCAAACAATGGGGAAATTGTGCAGGGATTTTCTCCTTTCTGTCAAAGACATCTACTGTTCTCTGTGTGGTGCTGTGCTAAAGTGGGGGGTGCTGTATCGCTGCACGCTGTTCTCTTCACAACAGACACAGAGCAAGTGTCACCAGTTCATTTATTTCTCTGCAGATGGAGGCGATTCAAGTTCAATGTGCTCTCAGTGTGGCGGCGTGTATTTATTATGAGAGCTGTCTTATTTTGTGCTGCTTTAAACATCAGTTTGATCTGTTATAAATCCCATAAAATGTCAGCAAAACAGAGATCTTAATTTAGTGTTAAGCTCAAAAAGCATGATTTTTCTTCATGTTGTTTATAATTATGAGAACAGCGCTCCAAAAACCCTTGAAGCATTTTATTTAGGCCTATGTGCAAAATGAACTCAACATTTTATCAAACAAGAAAACAGTAAAAGAAACTTTACATAACAAGCAAAATTTTTCTAAAATGCGCTGTGAGTGCTGCAACACATTTTTCATCTAAATTATTGTATTTTGGAGCTTTTGGGTTTGTTTCCTCAGTGTTTTGTTGAAAATAAATGCAAATCTGCATCTAAAAAATAATAAGAACTAGACACCAGAACAGATTATACAGGTTTAGAGGGTAAAAATCCTCTTTTATAATGATTTTCCCATATTTATTCTCAATTCAGTTCAGTTAAATTTCTTTATTTACAAATGTTGAAGTCATTACGGAGTGTGTTACAGTTTATAAGTGGTGAACATGTTAGTAATTTCTGTAGACTAAAATGTTCAACTCTCAAGTTATCCCTCTTATTTGTATAATTTATTTCAAAAGGTCAGACTTTTTAAAATAATCCATAAAGTGGTTTTGATTAATAGTTCTTCCAGATTACGAAAGCATTTTTGGGGCCTTGCCTGAATATATTTCTTTCATTTTCAGTCTAGTTACCTGAACATTTTCAAATAAATGATTAAGTCACTTAACTCAGACCAATTAATTAACTTTAAAAAATCTTCCTAAAACCAAGAGATGAGTCAGTATTATATTGACACTAGCAGCTTTAAACAGAAGCAAAATTTGTTTAAATGGTACCGCTCTACAATAAGC